GCTAACGGAACAAGGGTTGTGGAAAAATTATCTGACTCTATACAACACTCATGGAACCACCATGACAATGTCCTCTGGATTGCATCAAAAATGGAAACTATTGAAAACTCTCTTTCTATTAACAACTTTGAATTTATGGACTCGGCTATGTTCGTAGTCATGACATCAAACCTTCTTCCAGGAAAGTAAGCTCTACTTCATCGCTCGAAACCAACATCATGCTCAAGATACTTAGCAATTCTATCATCATTGATTTGGATTTGTCGGAAGTGCTCCTCGAACTCATCAACTTGATAAGCTTTTGCTACCATGTAGTATGTCTGAAGGAGGCCAGCACACTTAAACTTTAGTTTAATGTTCTCACCAAGGTGCCTCATACAGAATCCGTGATGTGGTTAAGGCTAAATAGTGCAATCCCCTTCTTTAAAGAGTTGTGCCTATCGAATATTATGCACAACTCATTATTGTTAGGTACTATCGTACATAATTGCTGAAAAAACCAAGTCCACGACTTGTCGTTCTCAGAGTCAACCACACACCATGCAACAGGGTATGTGTGATTCTCATTGTCCTGTACAGTGGCCACCAACAATGTACCTCCATATTTTCCCATCAAAAAGCAACCATCAATAGCCAACACCTTTCTCCCCTTATAGTAGCACTATAAGCAACAAATAAATATTTAAACCTCATATTCTTGTCCCACTTCAAAGTTGTCTTGCTACCTTGGTTTTTCAACTCAAGCATATAACAGTACGCTTCTAATAGTGCGTACCCGTGCTCCGGCGTGCCCCCCACAAAATCTTATGCATGTTGTCTCCCTTTCCAACATTTCTAATAACTAACAGTGCATCGCAACTCAGTGCGCACAAGTCTTTAAATATCCTTAGAAGATGGACCTTTCCCTTCAACAAACTGACTTTTGACAAATTGTCCAATAACATTAGCAGAAGCTTGTCGATGCTCACCTAAAATATGTCCCAAACCACATGTGTGCTCACGAGTGTATGTGCTAACAATAAATTTTTTGGACTCCACCAACCTTCTACACTAAACCCGTCACTTGCACTTTCGGTCACGACATGCAACCGTCACTACCGATGAATTAGACTTCTTGGTGATAAACTCAAAATTACCTATCACGGCAACAAGTTTTACCTTCCTCACCACTTCCTCTTTGTTGTCAAATAAATATCCTATGCGCAAGATTGATCCATCAGTAAAAAGATGAGCTGATTCACTACTACCTACAATTGCCGCCTCTGAACCTGCATAAAAGACCATAGTGTTCTCTTCCTCACAAACTACACCTTCTGCATAATCTATATTTAAAGGAATCTCTACATCTACAGGAACATGTACGAGGTCCTCTTTGTCAACACTTTCATTCTGAAGCATATGACCAACCTCTTCTACAGTATCCTCCTCAACACCCAAATCACCACCTACTCTTGAATTTTTGACTAAGAAATCAATTCCTTCATAGTTCAAATTAAAACCAGCATTCTCTCCACCAACTTCCTCGTTATCCCCTTCCTTTGAACCAACTTCCAACGGTTTATCTACAAAAGAAACCCTTAAAATCGGCCTCAAACCATTATCACCCACACCAATCATATATAACTTCACACCTTCATCCGACTTTAATATAGTAGGAGGTACCTTATAATGTTCAGGAATTTTGTTTAAAACATACTTCACAATTATATCAGTACGTGAACAACTCAAATTACCTCTTCTAATTATTTCATCAATCAACTCATCAAAACTAACATCTGTGCTCACAGCAATTGGTATAACTTCTTTGCTCTTCCTAATGCACTTCCAGCAACTTTATTCCTCCACCCACTCACCAAAATATTCAACACCCAGAACAACTTGTCCTATGTCTAATAATAGCCAAGTACCTATAATGCACGAAAAAAAATATTATTAACTGATGGATTAAAGGTTGAAAGATTTTAAAAAGCATCTACAGAGTCACTTGAGAGATCTGGCGTATCGCTTAAGCGATCTAGTATATCGCTTACTAGATCGCTTAAGCGATCAATTATATCACTTAAGCGATCTGGTATAATTAAGTCTGATCGTTTAAGCAATCTTCTACCATTTACCTGATCGCTTAAGCGATCTGCTGTCATATACCAGACTTATAGTAGATCGTTTAAGTGATCTTCTGCCATTTACCTGATCGTTTAAGTGATTTGTTGCCATATACCAGACTTATAGCAGATCGCTTAAGCAATCTTCTGCCATATACATGATCACTTAAGCGATTTGTGATCTGCTGCATTATACCAAATATACCAGATCGCTTAAGCGATACACCTAATCACTTAAGCGATCCATCATATCCGGAACACATTTTCAATCATCTCCACCTACAATCAGTGGTACCACTCCCAGCTACCCACAATGCAAGAAAATATTCAATAAATTTCACTCCTTTCAACTTGCATTACATCAAACACAACCCACAACCTAAACAACTAAATCAAGATCATAACCCAAACCCAATCCATCACTAAATCTTTGCAAATCGAAATATAAAATGGAAAGGGGAGATACACATACCTGGACGAAATGTCAGGAGGAGGAGGAGGAGGATCTGTGGCGGAGAAGATGTTAATGGCGAAGGAAGAAGATAATGTTAATGGCGGGAAGAAGAAGATGTACAAGAAGGAGGAAGAAGAAGATGTAGAGGAAGAAGAAGATGCAGACGAAGCTTAGAATAAACAGCAACCAAGGGAGGGATGCATTAATGGCGGGAGGAAGAAGAAGAAGATGTTATGTTTGAGTTTGTTTGCAAGAATTTCAGGTTTTTGGGGACATATTATAATTTTTAAAAGATTACACAATACTTCATTAATCCTAATTAAGCCATGATTAGCGTTTAATTGTTATTAGTTTGTCTTAATAAAACATAAGGCCGTTTAGTAAAAACTAAAAAACTACTTGGCCTTTTAATTAAATTCAAGGCCAATACGACCTTTTAATCAGTTGCCCCAGATGAAGAAGTTGAAGATGGAAGGGTAGTTTGGTAATAGCAGAGGAAGGGAGATGAAGAAGAAGAAGATGGGAGGGCAGTTTGGTAATAGCAGAGGAAGGGAGATGAAGAAGAAGAAGATGGGAGGGCAGTTTGGTAATAACCCATTCTACATCTGTATTAAAATTAATTATCACTAACGGTGTTATTTTAAGGGTGGGAATCTAAAATTTATGAAACCAAGGGTAGAAACTTGGAATTTCGCTAAACCTTGGGCGGGAACATGTCTTCTACTCAAAAAATTATATTGGATTACATATTACAATAAGTCAAATCAAGGAAATAATTATTCTATTCCCTCTCTTATCCCAATCCCACCCCATTCACAAATTCCATGTAATTTCTATGAAGCAAAGGATGCAAAAATAAGGAATTCATAGGTTTAAGTAAATAAATAAAAGGGGGTAAACAAGCATAAGAGAGGAAAAAAAACATTTTATTTAAGCCCCACTTATACTCTCTCTTCTTTCTACCTTCTAATCTTCCCAACCTATCTTTTCTTATCTCTAATCTCAAATAGCAACAAAATAAATAATGAGATTTCATTGTAATGTAATTTTTATTGTAATTATACATTATATTTCTTTTCTTTTTCTTACTTGTTTACTCTCTTTAAAAAAAAAAAAAAAAAAAAAAAATGAAGGAAAGTTTTACTCAAACAAAAATGTGATTTAGAAGTTTATCCACCATATCAAACAAAAAAGAAGTTGAACAAATTACTTAATGTCATGATTTTGCAACATGGAGTTGTGTTATGCAAATGATTTGATTATAAAATATAAGGAAGTAAATAACACCACTCTTAAGATTGGTCAAACGAGTTTAACCCAGCGTAAATATAGAGTCGAAAGTTGAGCACATGGGTAATAGATCACGGGTCATCAAAAGCACGAGGCCCAAATCTCAATATTAACCCAATAAGGTAATGACACTTGGTACAATAAATTGTCTAACTTACAACAACAGATTATGGGGGTAGGAGAAATTTTGCTTCCATTAATTAGCTTTCAGTATTAATGCAAATACTCACTCCTCTAGTTGCTCTTTTAACACATTATCAACTCTGGTTGTTTGTCTTAATACCCTTTCATTGATTGTATCGCTTGTTATTATAAAGCTTCATTAGATTTGACTGATTTCTCTTATGAGTTATCTATTTTAATTTTCAGAATATTAAGTAAAATTAGAAATTTTAAAAAGGGTATTTTTGGAATAATCAGGTAAGATTTATAAAAACTATTTTTTGTTTAAATTGAGGCTTAAAAAGAGATTTAGCGGAGTTCTCTATTTATAAATAGAATAATACTACACATACATCATTTCCATACAATATTTCTAATACAACATTATGTGACAAGATATGATTGGGTGAAAGTTTAATTTTAACTTTAAATTAACCAATCATAATTTATCACATAATGTTATATAAAAATGATGTATGTGTAATATTACTATTATAAATATAAATACTCCAAGACCTTCTAGAGAACTAACGGCCTACGACACGCAGAGTTTAAGTTTTTGATAAAAAGGCTTTATGTATTGCATTCTTTCTCGTTTTTGTCTCAAGATTATATATTCCTCTAGTACTTTTGAAATAAAAAGCTCAGTCTTTGTTCTTATAAAGTTTTTTATTTTAATTTTGGATAATAGATGAGGAGAGCACCTTGAAGGTATATAAAAGATCAACCCATAAAATTGTTATTTCTTTCATATGATTAAATAAAAGTTTACTTAAAAACACAAAAGTAGAACACGATAGTCTTCATTCTTCCACAAGTTTGTTTTTTTTTCTTTTTAGATTTCTTTCATGTCTCCTTCCATTCCTGGGTCGGACCAAGTAAATTAGACTTCAGTTAAGATTATATACAGATTCATAACGTACAGGAACAACTACCCTGATGCAAATTGTTAGGCCTTGTGCTTCTTATGTACACATTCTTCAATCAACCTCCGCTAAACAACAAAATAAAAACATTTACAGCAGTTAAATTCTTCTCAGTGAACATCAGGGGTTGCCATGCTCTTCCCAAAGTTGCCATCACTATTCATGCAAGTCTTCTCATCTTTGCACTGCCCATTACTGATTTTGATCATCTGGTCAGTGCCTCTGCATCTGTAACAAACGAACCTCGCTGGCACTGCATCAGAGTCGTGAATGCCAGAACATCTCGTGTGCTGCCACACGCCACATACATCACAAGCCAACATTCTTTCACCGTCGTCATCCTTGGCTCCACAGATACAATCTACAGTCCATCTCTCAATCCCTCTCTCCATCCTATATTTACCAAGCCCATTTTTTCCAAGGCATCTTCCTCGGACACAAACTGATTCACTAGACCCTAGTAAGAGTTTGACCTGGGTGGAATCGTCTACACCACTATAGCCAAGTAGCTCTTCAGCCTGAAATCTTCTAAATACCAAATATACTTCTTGAAAAGCCCTTGTCGCTTCAACTTTGAGGTCAGAAACAGTAGCATTTACAGGTAAGACAATTAGCTCAGAGGGTGGATCAAGGGCATTTTCTTCAGATAAATCCATGACTTCCAGCTCACATGAGAGGCATATCTCAGATACTTCCTTAATTGAAGATATCACTTCAGGATAGTAGTCTTTCATGAATTGCTTGCAGTCAAGAAGTTTGTCAGCCGAGCTGATTGCCAGGTCTCTCATTGCCTCAGGTCCATAATTAACCATGGTTTGTGGGTGCAGAAGAGATTCAAAAAAGAATTTTAGGTCCCGCATGAGAATTTCTTGAGAAGGACGTTTAATTATGGAAGAATCAATACGAGAGGTGATGCCATTGAAGGAGTCATTTGCCTGCTCAAGCCTGTCACAGGCAAAACAACAAATTAGATCTTATTGCACATTGAATATACCCAAAGCATAAAGGATTGAACAATTGGGTCAAGGTGTCCAGGACTTGGTGAAAGTCAAAATAAAATTCTAGACACAAGTGCTTTAAAAAATGACATCAAAATGCACCAATGGTAAGGTCCAATGTCATATCATAACCAAAATACTAGCTAACATCAATAAGCAAGCACTAACCTGTACTCAAATGCCCCTGAATCAGGATTGCACCTAGCTACAACCACCATCCCATCAGCCGCTAATTTCCCCCCAAGTTCTTTGAGACAGTGATCAAGAAGCTCTGACTTAGCCACTTTACATACTGCACCCCTAAGAGTTCGCCAACTTACCCAATTGGATCCAGACACTGCTCGCAAAACTCTAAACATGGCTTCATCCACACGCTCTATTTCACCCTTGGTCCAAGATTGCACCACCTCTGATGCACATTGACGAGGTTTCTTGCAGGCGGCCTCATCAACCTTTGTGCTTGGTGAAGACTTGTGGTCATCATGAATCAGCCTCACCAAGAAACAAAAGAGATCTCTTATATTCACAAGCTCACACTCAGATATTGACTGGTAAAACAAAATTCTGTCTTGCAAATGAGTACGAGGTTTTCGTCCTTGAGATAGAAAGATCGATAACAGTATGGTAGAAAGGGCTTCAACAGCTGATTTATAGGCATCACGTGTGAGAGCGAAACTACCAGCACCAAATTCATAACCCCAGTCACCATACCATGGATGTCCTCTGGTGATGGCATGAAGTAGCCGGTACTCCATTCCATACTTTTTCGACACATCCATCACACTGACCTTTCTGTTCATGTGAAGAAAAAGATGCAATATTTAGATAAAAAATGAGATTAACAGCATTGATGTTAACATGCAGAATGTACTCTAGCGAACATAAAACCAAGGAGAGAAAAGATACGCAGTGCAATTGGATTTAGACAAAACATAGAAATTAAAATCCCTTATTTCCAAGAAGCATAAGGCACAACATAATTACCATAGCATGCAATTAATATAAATCTACAACAAATTAATCAGGTTGAAAGCCCAGTAGAAAAGCCCAGTAGAAGGCATAATATCCAGTCATAACGAAGAATTTCATTCAACTACAAGTTCCAATGCAAGTATAACAATATTAGCAGCCAATAGTTCACATGATTACCCTGATCCACACTGATTCACTATTCTTATAGATTTGAACCATCTTCAAACCATAGCCAAACAACAATTCTTATACAGAATAAAAGGGAAAAAACCTTCACGCAATGACATTGAAAACACCACAGCCTTGCATACAAGTAAACAGTAATTCTCAGAGTTAGACCCTTTGAAATAACAAGATTGCTTTCACTGGTATACAAGCAGGAAGCTGTAAATAATACTTATCAGGAGTCCTAACCTGACACCAAGAGCTTTACATAAGCGATCCCAGAAGTCCATGATATGACAACCGGAAAGTACCCTGGATCCCCCTTCTCTGCCATTGACCCTCAAAAGGTGGCCATAACCATTAGAATGAACTACACCGTGTAAAAGATGAGTAGTGTCTTCTAACTGGTGGTACACCCAGTCTTCAACATCATCTGTCGTTGTCACATGGTTGCATGACTTGCACCTGATGCATCAAATACTACAAATAGTGAGTTCATGAAATTGCAATTGGTTAAAGAAGACAAAAAGGCAACAAATAACGATGAATTTCTCGTTAGCATTAACTTCTTCGAACACACCCACGTATCCAAATCTAGTGATTTCAAAAACTTTGAAAGCAGATGGAAATTCTCAAAAATGTTCTCTAAAAGATGAAATACCAAATACTATGCGGACATAGCAGTGATAAATTCATACTTAAGTAAGACAGCAGCAATTGACAAAATATACGCATTACAGAAGTTAAAATTATAACTAACATAAGAACCAATCAACAAAGCCGCCTCCTAAACACTGCAGCATATGCAAATAATAGAATGGTGAAATGAACAGAATCAAGAGTTCGTTGAAAAACAAAAATCGAAATAACTCACCTGGATTCGGACAAATGCAAGACATCTCCACAGCATGTACATGGTTTGTTATACCCACCAATGGAATTGCCATCAGCCTTCACAATGAAATGGTATCGCTTGCTGCACACTGGATTTCCACTCCAACCTTGAATAAATAAAACCAATGAGAACCATCAGTCATTGAAATTTATTTTTATGAAAACTGAATTTTACATAGGTTGGATCATAGGTAACCTCAATGGTACACGGGCCCATCTCAAAAATCAAATTGGCCCATTGGTCATCATCAAGCGTTGAATTTTCAATAACTCACAATAAAAAAAATAAAAATTGAGTGAATTGAACTTGGGGGCACAAGGGATTACTATTAATATATTATTAAATAAAATAATTAATAAAGCCAAGGAATAAAGTCAGGGGACTCAGGTGAACTAGAACTACCACACAATTAATGAAGAAATACGAAATTAAATTAATATTCAAAGAGTTGAAGGATAAGACGTAAAGAGTAAAGACATGAAAACATGTTTCATTTTAATAATTAAAATTATCCAATAATCAGCAAAAGCAGTCTCGTTGTTGTTTTAATTTACACGCATGCCATCGGTAGTGTATGATAATAGTGTAGGAAAAGCTAACAGGCAAGGTCGAAGAATCATAATTAATTACGCCAGGGTAATTTAGGTAAAGGATAAAATGTGCGCCCGGTCAATAAAAGCTGTCACGCAATAGCGAAAGCAGGGTGTCCCATCAACATCAGCCTGTATCACTTGGCAACTGCCACGTGTCCAAAACAACAAAACCAAAGTCAGCTAAACTAAAAATACCACTTTCCATATGGACCCCACCCACTCTTCTATCTGATACCTTATCATCTCACGATAAATTATAATCATTTAAACTAAGACGTCCAATTCAATTATCCATTATTAAAAGACTGTTTTGACTTTTTCATGTCTTATGTTGTCACTTATCGGTTAAGACTTAAATATCCACCATTAATTCATCTCACGAGATGACAGCGTGATATTTCGAGATACTTTCTAAAAAGAAAAAGAATCTCCGATTTCCCGCCATAGCAACCGGCTACCGGGAAGATAAAAGAAAAAGCCAGAGAGCGTCCTAGAAAAGCGTAGAGAAATAAAAACCAAAAAAAAAGGAATAACACTAAAAATAGCAAGAGAAAGAATCGGTCTACAACAAAACGACTCGGAACGAGTCAACTCACCAACGACTCGGCACTGATCGCAGTAAACGGATCTGGATCTGGCCACGTCCTCTTCAACAACGTCCAAACAAACCGTAACCGGAGACAACTCCGTACCGTCCGTGAAATCACCGACACGGAACTGGATCTGCCACGTGAGCAGGTGAGGGAAGAGTGAGGACGGCGGCGGTAAGAGCGCGTGGTGAGACAAGAAGGTCCGTACGCTAACTCTAAAAGGCTCGGTCGGACCAGATCCAGATCCGTCAATAGAAGGAAAGGTAAGGAAGTCGTGAAGATCTGCTGTGACTCTTCTCTTCATTCGCTTAAGAGGCCTGCCGTTAACAACCATGACGGTGGGGGCAGCGCGTGAGAGTGAAGTCGGATCTGAGGTTATAGATTAGAGATAGGAGGGGAAGGGGGAGAGCGTTGAGTTAAAAGAGTGAAGAGTTTTGAGAGGGAAAATGAAAGGAACGTTTAATTGTGGTGTAGGGTTTTATGATTTGTCTGTTGGATGAGATGAGATGAGTTGTATTGTTTTGATTGATGGATTGATTGGTTATTTAAGAGAAGCTTTTTTATTTTTCTTGGTTTTAAGAATCCGACACAAAAGTTAAGTCGGTTTGGGGGTTGTTTTTATCGAAAACCAATACTAAATCGTTAAGCGTGTTGTGTTGAGTGAATTACTAGGCCTTCTTAAATTACTTTCGTAATTACCAAAACAACCCGGAGGAAAAGAGAAGGTTTTTACTGTCGTCCTTGAAGAAAGGACACAAATTTCAGAAAACTTATTCGAGAAGGAAAGCAAAATAGAAATAGGAATATTTACTTTTATAAATGAATATAATTACTTGTACTTATACGAAACTATTATGCCTCCCAACTTTACTATTTACCCAATGCTTTAACAACCCTGTGAAGAGAAGAGGATTTTGATTAGTTTTTGCCAAATTCAATTTTAGGTGAGAATTTGATAAATTTTTATGTTCTGTATGATGATGTGAGAAAAGTGGTTTTAAATCCAAGTTAAGTGACAAAAAATAAAATAATCTGTATCTTTGATTGATGCACCTACATTAAAATATTTTCTCTCATTCATTGATTTAGATAGATTATGTTAAACTATGCCACACACAGGCACATGTGTGTGTGTGCGCGCGCATTGGTATAATTTGTTTTATCAATTTGTTAAAACTTTTTAATATACCAAATATTGGGATCTTTTAGATAGTATGATTTATTTTTGAAAAAACATAGTTTATGTTGACTTAATTTATTTTAACATTAACAATAGCCTAACCATTCTATATTATTTTTATTAACCACATGTTTTATGTTCGAGTTTGAGTTTATAATTATGGTACAATTATTGGACACATATTTTGTTGCTTAATTGATGAAAAATTAATATAAATAAATTGGTTTAATGAATAAAAATAAATAATAGATTCAGATTTTCACAAGTAGCTAGGTTTAGATGAAAAATATTAGGAGTAGACCTATTTAACCCTCAAAAATATCTCTATTTTTTATATATTTTTAAGTGCATACTATATGCCCCCATCATTTATCTTTATAAATCTCACTTCTAAATTAACCTCATAAATAATTTCTAAATAAACCTCGTCTATTTACAAAATAACCCTTACATTTATATTTTCACTATTCCTGTTATATTTTTCTCAATCCTTGTTTTGTATATAGTCTGCATTTTTTATCTTCAGTTAATATNTTTGAGTTTGTATCGGGTGTAATTTGAGTTAGTGCTCTATCTTTTTGAAAAGGATGCTAAGTTTTTCTTGCGTTTGTTTCCCTATTTTTTCACTATCCTATCCTAGGGGGTGTTTGTCTGAACTTATGAAAATTAGATTATAAGCAACAAGTACTTATAAGCTAAAATTAGCTTATAAGCATTTGAAATTTTAAGCAATTACGTGTTTGGTTAAAGTACTTATAAGTGATTGTTAAGTAGTTGACGTATTTGGTAAAATGTGGCTTATAAGTACATTTTATTATAAAATGACTAAAAAAAGTACTACATTAAACAAAGGTATACTATGAAATTTTAAAATTAAACAAGGATAATGTGGTAATATACTTGATCAAACTAGCTTATAAGCAGAGTGCTTATAAGCAAAAAAAAAAAAAGTACCTCCCCCCCAACTTATTTTTTTTGGTTTATAAGCTCAACTTATAAGCTCAAAAAAATTATAAACAAACAGGTCAGCTTAATTTTAGGGCTTATAAGCAAGTTTGATCAGCTTATAAGCTTAGACAAACACCCCCCTATTATCCTATTCAATCCTATCAAAATGTATATTTGTTTTAATATTCAAAATTCAATCATATTCTATTCAATTCAACTCAAAACATTAACAATTATTTTCTCAATAAAAGTTTTAAAATTAACAAAAACACCCCCACTCACCTAAGCCACTATCACCTACTAGCAGTTGCCGTCGCTACCAGTCGCCGACACTGGCCAATGCCGTAATGATACACGACCGACTGGATTTGGTCGATCGTGCGTCGATGTGTCTGTTTTCTGCCAGACCCACCATGGATCTGGCCAGATTGTCTGTTGACGACAATCAACCACTTGGTCGTTGCTGATGGCCAAACAACAGTCAGAGATTTGGACGTCAACAACGGCTAGATATCTTAGCTGTTGTTTGGTCGTAGATCTAGCAGTTTTCGACCAAATTTACGGTGGATCTGGATAGAAAAGGCCAGATCGGTGTATAATCGGCCATATCTAACTGGTCATGTGCCATTCCGGAAGATTCCGGCCACCACCTAATGGTGGTGACCGATTGTCGACAATATGTGGGTGGGTGGAGGTGTTTTTGTCAATTTATAAATTTTTATTGTGAGGGATATTTAGTTAAACTAACAAACCTAGGGGGTTAAAAAACAGTAATGTTACCCTTGCACCATGTTTTTACACCATTCTCTGACGTGGCAGCTGACATGGCGTTGCCACCTCCTTTGACACATCAGCAAGTTGCCACCTCACTTTCCCAAATGTATTTCTTTTTTAAATTTTAGTAACCCCTTTTTCCCCAAATTCAAATCTCCTCCCAAAATTCATCTGCCCTAAATTTGCAAACCAAACAATAATCCTAACCCATTTTGCAAAATCCATTTAGCCCCCACCACCTAAAACCTCGCGAGTCGCTGCTACCGTCGCAATTTCGCCAGAGTAACTTGTAGAGATTTATCTGGATGGCAAAAGGAGTAAGCTAGCAAAGACAAAACTTTGTGTCACATTCTCAAACAAAGGAGCGAAGATATCCAATACACAACCGCCATTTCTAACCAGGTAGAGATGGAAAGTAAAAGATGGGTAGGATTCTATTCTCTTTATTTTTTTATTTAGTGGATCATGCCTGTCAAAGTTGATATTAGAAATAATGTATAATATGTTTATAGCTTATTCTCATTCCATAACATTATCGAATTTAATACTTTTCATAAAACAATATTACTGAACCTTGTGATTCGTGGATCGTATAAGAGTTGGTAGCATGACGCTGGTTTTTGGTTTATTTTCTGTTGAAAATCATCTCCAGGAAAAATCTTGTCCAGATACTTCATCCTTAGTAATGGACGCATCCAATTTCTGCGCTATATATGGAACAAGCAGAAGCAGTCAAATGGCATTAAGAGCTCACAGATGGATCAGACCAGAAAATCAAAACAAAAGAAATAAATATGAAGTCAAAATTTATTTAAATAGTAATGAACTTTCTTTGGAAAACATTACAACTGGGGGAACCTCATTATCAATTGTTATTGTGATTCAAGCAGCAAAAACTTGGTGCTTGGAATTAGTATAAGACGGTGCCTAGTCCATAAAGAGAGTGAAAGAAGTATAAACGGGAAGGTCTTCAGAAAAAGCTGCCGTCGCAAATCAGAGCTCACTGCTTCAAAATCACACTCTCAATTCAGAGCCAGAGGGACTTTTAGCATTTATGGTAATTTGAGTTGCTTTTCTATATTTTCTCCTAAAAAAAATGCATGTTATGATTAATCATGTGTAATGCACTCTCATTGTTAGTGTTTGGCTTGATATACTGGAAGCTTTGTTGGTCGTTGTTTTCGGTAGTTTTGATTATTTTACTCCTGCTTCTCATTTAGCTCATAGTGGCTAATAGGATGAAGTTTCGGTCATTGCATGTATGTTGCATGTTGCTTTATTTAATTTAGATTTGTGTTATGGTTTTTAAATGATATACAAATATTTTCTGCAAACAAGTCTGAATGGCAATGTGGTTTGAAGGTCGTTTTGGTGCTGAAAATCCAATTTTGAAGTTGTGTTGTGGTATATGGGACTTTAATTATTCTCTTCAACTCACTTGCAGTGCTTTCAAACAAATGTGATTTTTGAACCTGATTCATCTTCACACGATTGGAGCTCCATATACATGGTCTAAGGTTGGAGAACCCATGGTCATATTGAACTTCGGTTGGACAGAGATTGCTGAAGCATTTTTGGTTATTAAAGGATGTTGTGAGAGAAGATTTAGCTAATACAGAGAATGTTGCTGCAAGAAGTTAAGCTAATGCAGAATAGATTTTTTTGTTTTAAGATGTTGCATTACTGAAAACTGGAAAAGTTAGAAGATGTTAGTTTGAGGAGGAGTTAGAATAAAAATGTAAATGAGAGTTAATTGGTCTTATAAAGGCCTCACCTCGTATCAGTTTTATTTGGTTAATGAAAAATCAATTCTTGTTTTTCTCTCATAAGTTTTTCTTGTTTGTAGCCCACGAAGCATAAGAGGAGCCACAAGAAGGTTAGAGACAACCATGATGGCCTGATATTTTTGTGGTATACTGATGTTGGGAATGGTCATTGGATGTTTTCATCAATTTTGCCAAAGTAAATAGTTTTAATCTATGTAGTGTATGCATTGTTGCTTTAGTTACTGCATTTTAAGCAGTCCATTTTTTGTGCAACTGGTGCAAATTGGTAGGCGCTGGAAATGAAGCCTGGGCATGTTGTAGTTTTTGCATTGTGCAGATGACCAGGTGTGAGAGGTTGCAGTTTGTTTCTGCAGTTTACAAGAGTCTTGGGCAGTATGTGCAGGGTGGTGTGTGTAGAATGAAGTAGTGATTGGACAGTGGTTTGTATGGAGCTGCAGCGTGATTGCTGCATTTTCTACAGGTTCTGGCTGGAGTCTTCAGTTTGGTTGTCTGTGTTTGTGTTGCTTTTGTGTATAAGGATTGTATATCCTTGCTTGGTTTTGTTTCTTTTTGTGCAGTTGGTCCCTTGTATTCCTTGTATTTTTCACAAGTTTCACTCTTTAGGAGAGATTACCCTAATTTTAATGATTAGTGTATAATTATTCCCAGATTGCTTGTAATAAACGAAATTGAGGCTTTATGATAATGTATAATTCGCACGTTTTATCTGTATAAATGCACAATTATGAATGGATGGTAATGTAAACCAATGTTGTCTTCCCAAAGGACCAAAAACAGACAGTTTGGTCAATTAGTATATATAACCTTTTTTTTTAGGTAACTTATAATTTTATAACAAGATTAAAGAATATCTACAAGATAAAAAAAAAAAAAAAAAAAAACAAGTTGCATGCCCTACTTACAAGAGAGGGATAAACAAACAATCA